CATTGTATGACCAGTTATTCTTAGCTTTAAAGGAAATACTTTTATAAATAATGTTTCAAAAAAATTGTTATGGAATCAAATATGAATATAATAAATATGGTAATAGAATCAACGACTAAAAGCAAACAAAAAATATCCACATGTTGACAAAACTAACCAAAGATATTTAAAATACGAGATTTTCTTTTTATTGCCAAGGAGAATATAAAATACTAGAGTTTGGTTCAATGAATAAAAATGTAAATTCTAAAAGTTTCAAAGAGAATATAAATAGAAAAGGTCTATTATATATAGGTTATGGGCACCTTTGATAATACAGTTAAACATAGTCAAGAAATGGCATCAAATATCTTCTTTCTCATTGCTCTTGTTATCGCTTGTAAGTCTATTTAAAAAAGGCTTTACTTATTTTTAAAAAAATTTGAACACATAACATATATTTTTCTTACCTGTGTTTCATTAACTAGGTGCGACGATAGTGAGTGTTCCGACAACGGAAGCTCAGATTTTTCTTCCTTGCAAAACAACAAAAGAATGTGAATATCTTCAGTGCACGAAGGGGTTGATAGCTAAATGTGTAAACGGGCAATGCAAATGTTCGAATCCTCAAGCGAAACTCAACAACCTAAAGTTCGTAAATCCTGGTGGAGAATGCACGTCGACCAGTCAATGTAATCCTCATATGAGTGTTACATGTGTGACGCACATGTATGCGTGTTTTGTTGGCTTGTGTACTTGCCTCCCTTAATGCATAGTATTATAATTACATATGCATCTTTCTTACTGTCTTGGGAAGATTTTTCTCAGTGATAACAATAACATGTATTCAGAAACACTTTCAGTTGAGTTTTTTTTTTTTTTTATGTTTGGAAAGATAAACATTGAATAATCTTATTTTGTTTGTCGACAAAATTAAATAGTTTATTCATGACACTTCTTGGTGATGAGCTCCGTAGTATATAAACAATTTCAGTGCAGTACTGCCAAAACGCACTTATATCCTATATATGTGGTATTAAAAACAACCAGTATAACACAAGAATCATCCATATTTTGACTAATCTAATTAAGAAAATACATATTTGCATTTTTTACTACA